TTTCTGCCACTGCTCAAGGACAGCAGTCCTTCCCCTGCTCCAGCTCAGGGTTCTCCCACAGGAGGTTGCTCTCCATAACCTTCTCCAATTTGAGTCCTTCTCAAGGGCAACAGTTCTCCACAAACTGCTCGAACATGGCTCACTCTTCCACAGGGTGCAGTCCTTCAGGCACAGCCTGCCTCCAGCATGAGTCCCCCATAGGTACTACCAGGAAACCTCTTGTCTCCACAGGTCCTGCCAGGAGTTTGCCACAGCACAGCTTTCCCATGGGTTCAGAGCCTTGTTCAGGCATCCTCCACAGGCTGCAGGTGGATATCTGCACTCCATGGGTTGCAGGCAGAGTTGCTTCACCATATGTATTGGGTTTGGGTGATCAGGTTTTGATGGTGGGGGGTTCTACATGGGTAAGAAGCTGCCAGAAGATTCCATGATGTCCAGCAGAGCCAATGCCAGCAGCTCCCAGACAGAGCTGCTGCTGACCAAGGCTGGGCCAGTCAGAAATGATGGTGACACCTCTGTGATAATAGATTTGAGAAGGAAAAGAAGTTTTTGTGCAGATGTAATTGTGGCCAGAGAAGAGCAAGGTGAGAACATGTGAGAGGAACAACTCTGCAGACACCAAGGTCAGTGCTGAAGGAGGGGAAGGAGGTGCTCCAGGCACAGGAACTGATATTCCCACCTGTGATGGTGATGCCCATGGATATTTGGTGTGGCTGAGCTGGAGTCCATTCCCCATAGCAGCCTTCCCAGTGCTGTGCTGACAACACACCAGTGTTTTGGCTGCTACTGCTGGGCAAGGCTGGCACAGCATCAGTGCTGACTCTCAACCTTCCCTGCCAACCAGCAAGCTGGGGGTGGACAAGACCCTAGCAGGGGACACAACTAAGCCAGCTGACCCAAATTAACCAAAGGGATATTCCATACCATCTGACATCAGCTCATAAAAGCTAAGGAAAGGAGGAGGAAGTGGGGGCATTTGTTACTTACTAGGTTTGCCTTCTGGAGCAACTACTACTACATGTGTTGAAACCCTGCTTCCCAGGAAGCAGCCACACATTGCTTGCTGATGAGAAGTGGAGAACAAACCTATTTTTTTTCCTTTTTGTGCACATGAAGACTTTTGCTTTTGCCTTAGCAAACTGCTTTATCTCAATCCAGGAGTTGCCTTCCATCTTATTTTCTCTCCCCTGTCCACCTGGGAAAGGGGAACGATAGAGCAGCTTGATGGGCACCTGACATCCAGCCAAGGTCAACCTACCATACACACACCTATCTCAAACTTAATTTGCACTTTCATACTTGTGAACTCAATAGGAACATTTTGTTCATGAAGCAAATGCTCACAATGGACTGATGCATTGCTGGTACCATCCTGGTTACCATCCATATTGTTCTAGAAACAGCACCAAACAACTGACAATCCCAACACAACAGACATATTTCACAGTAATATTTCCTGAGTAAATATTCCCAGAAGCCCAGCTGCATAGGATACTTCCCAACTCTTGAGCGTACTACAAGGCAGACAACTGAGGTCCTTTCACATCACAATTCAAATACAGGCATTGTATGTTTGGGTCTTGGTACAGACCCTTAACCAAGCTCTAAGGGAAATATTTATAAAGCCTTTTAGGATGATTTATAATCAAACTGCCAAAGCCAAAATGCTGGAACTTATTTCATCAGGGAAACAGCCTCAAAACCACAGAAATACATTCTGTTTACTATATGAAGCACATTAAGAGATGCATCCATTTTTCTGTTAGCCAAAGTTGAAATGATCACTTTGACAAGATGAACATTAAAATTAAAGAATATTCTGATGGCCTTTCCTTCCTCTATATATATCTTAGTTACAATTCATGCATTCATGACTTTTGGTAAATTTAACTCTAAGATGAGTCATAAATAGTATTTATATTGCATTGTAGACCAAATTTTTGCAATCTGCTGTCTCATGCTCATAACCTCCCCCCCAACTTTTAAAGCCTGTTTAACTCCTCTGCAAACCTAGACAAAAGCAGCTCAGGCTGGCAAAATGTAGGCACAAAAACCTCAAATGATCTCCCATTGTTTTAAACATAAAACAAAAAGCAACGGTGCCGAGATTTCCTGCTCAAGAAACTCTTTCCAAGGCATAATTTTTCTAATCTTGCACACTTCTTCATCTTGGGCCAAACTCTCACTTAGAAATAGGCAGAGATTCAAGACTATATTCTGGAGCACAGCTGGCCCAACAGCATACAGAAGAGAAGATTTTCACAGACAAAGAAGCCAAAACAAGACACTGGGTTCAGGAGTGGGAGCAGTTCCAAATGCTACCAGAACCAGTCCTTTTCTGCTGGACACGGACCCTTCATAGCCCATTACAGTCTTCAATATCCATGGGCCATAATAAAGCAGAATTAAACAAAGCAGATGGGAAACACCTTAAGATAGTGGAGACCTGCAGTGGCCACACTTGTACACTTCCCCTTCCCCCAGTGTTGTATGGAATTGCACATGGATGGGCACACAGGGAGGGCAGTAATGCTATAGAGCTCTGCTGATAAATCCAGCAGAGCTCATCTGCTGGTGTCATGGGACCAACGGATGAAACATTTGACATTATACAAAGAAGTAGTAACAGATAGAAAAGTTCACATATAAAATACTGTACAGATGGTCATGTTGATTAGGAACAAGGCTAGGAATGGCTTTAACTAGGCTACCATTGCATTAGCAACAAGTACAAAAAAATTAAATCATGTGCCTACATTTCTCACTGTGCATTCCCAAAAGTGTGTCCAAGAATGACAGGCTAAGTAAAATGTGGGCCTTCCTCATACTGACAGTAAAATTAGGAACCGGAAAAGTTTAATAGTAGCATTTCCCTGTTTTCAATTCACATGGAATATCAATTGCCCAGCTGAAGTTTGGTAACTCAAACTGTATGTTAAAAAATGAAACTTTTCTTGATACTAGAAAACAACATTTCCTTTGTAAACCCAACACTGCAGAATTACAGAAGCAGGCAAGAGATCAACAACCAGCAGGGAGAGCAACAGCACAAAGCACATTGTGTTTTAATTTATAGGAATAAGCGGCCTCTCCTCTCTTTTCTTCCAGATATTGGTTTTGCTATCTCTTTTCATGAGAGGTGGTCTATCCCTTTTTTTAGCAGAAGGGATACCAGATTCATGACTTCCTGGTAGAGATTTTTTCCTTAGACCTTCCTCATTATGTTGTTCTAAGACTGGCCCGGTCCCTCCTTCCATAATGTGTCTCACAGCCTGGTCCTCTGGAGTGCAAACAGTGGTCCCACTTTCACTGCCACTCAGATCCAGATCTTCCAAGTAAAGAATCTTAGAATGTGGCATACTTTTAATGAAAGTTTTCTCTCTCTCCAGTTTCCTGTTAGGATGATGCTCATTCATGTCCACACCAGAGTCCAGACTAGTATCATTACTCTCAGTTTTTTTGCCCTTTTTCAGATCAATGAAAGAATGCCTCACTTGAGCAATTGGCTTTCCATCCAGGGACACAAACCACGCTCGAGGATGTGGAGATGGTTTTCCTTTAGAGAGCTCCAGCAATGTTTGCTCTGAAATCCCTTGAAGCTCGGATGAAAACGGAGCCATTACAACTGCTTCATTCAGTGTCCCAGGAACAGAGACAGATTCCAATAAGCTGTTGGTGTACCGGCCCCAGTTGGATGCTTGGGAAGGCAAGCCCTCTTCACCATCCAGGGCACTGCTCTCATCTCTGCAGGCAGAAGGCTGAGGATGAGAGTGCACTGGCATTTTGGGGAGCGTTTGCATGTAACTGTCACGATTCATGGGTTCCATCAAGGGGCCATACACCAGCTGCCCTTTCCTTGGCAAAGTTGCTGATTTAGCAGGATGCAGTTGCTCTGGGGAGTGGAAAAGGTCTGAGGTTTGAAGAATAGCAATAGGCTGATTGTAAATATGCATTAGATGTTCTGGGATATGGGAAAGCCCATAGATCTCTTCTTTCAGGGAAAGGTACCTGTTTTGGTCTGGAATGTCCCTAGGAGCCTGGGAAATAGTACTGTTACTGTGCTTTGGCTGCTGTAAAAGCCTCACTCCAGCACCAGGCTCCACTGAATGGGCTGAATTTCCTGCCTGACCAGTCTGACAGGACGACTGATACGAAGCATCCTCTGAGTAGATTTTAAAATTGTCTTGTGATTTTCCATCTTCTGTGTCTATGGACAGCCTCCTTTGAGGGCTGTATGAAGAAATCTTCGGTGTATATAACTGTGACTTATCCTCTAGCTTTAAAGACCCTTTGACAGCACTGATGTGATTTATGTGAGTTGTTGACGTTGTCTGGTCTTTTTTTATCACCTCCAGCTTGGTTGAGTTTTTTTCCTTCTTCTGTGTCTGACGACACTTATCCCTATGCAAAAGAGAAGTAAGGTGACTGCAGAACATATTAGGAAATACTGGACTGTTGACCACCAAAGGTGAAGGTTAGACTTTGGTTAAGAAGTTGTAATCTAATTTGACATCACAAACTTAAAATGAAGTTCTGTAACAACTATAATTAAAAAAAAAAAATATTAGGCTACACATTACAGTTTAGCTAAGAAAACAAGTCTTAACCTCAAAAGACTATTTTATCAACCTCAAATTCCACTCATAATGAGCTCGCTGGAACTTCTTTTGCTTACCTGCAGTAACAAAGAAGAACAGCAAAAAATCCAATGATAATGACAACTGTTCCTCCCAGTATGGCCGTAAGGAACACTGTGTGATAGGCTGTTATGTCCTTGGAAACAGCACTGATAATGGATTCTAGATTATCAAACAAAACCAGACAAGCATTAGTTCTTAAAACCAAATTATTTCACTTGATGTGCAGAGCTAATAAACTGAACAGTGCTTTTCCAGTGATTTTGTGTTTCAATGGCATTTTAGTCATCCTTTCCTTTTCACCTTGCTATTTCAACAGGATAGTGAAAATGACACGTTCATCCCAAATACTAAAGGCTTACCATGACATCTACTTCATTCCAGACAAATTATATTTGTATTAATTGTCCAAATTAACTTAGAAAAGTGGTCTACATTTTCTACTTAGCACTCTGCCAGAGAGTGCTATCTGTTTTTGCAATTAGCCGCACTGTTTCTATGACAGATCCCTTCATATGAATTTTCAAAACATGCAAGAAAACCACTGTAAGGACTCGAACAAAAGTTATCCAAGTGGTGAAGCTGCATTTCACTTCTCCCTCCCTGCTGTTAAATGAAGCAATCAAACTGACAGCCTTACATGGGGCACTCAGCAATTGCTTGGCCAGTTGTTGCCATACCTCTTGTTCCAGGCAGTGGAGCTGCTATCCAGTAGCCCAAGTGCTGAGCATTGTATGTCCAAACCAACTGGCCATCCACTTCCTTCACCATTCCTAGCCCACGGTTTACCCAAGCACCTGGGGGGAAAAAAAAAGACAAAACACTGCACATGCCATGCAGGATTCTTCTATACCTCAAACCATCAGCAATTAGGCCATTATCAAAAATGTACAAGGTCACAGGAAAAACTGAAACTTCTGACCTAGCCACTGTTTATTACACAGCTTCTGCCAAACAGGCAAATTTCCTCTCCTGACAATTTAATTGCAAACATCCATCTGCAGCCATTTACTTTGAAACAAAGCATCAACATTACTCACCAGAATTAAACTCAATATGATTCATTTCCGATTAATAATTGTCTTTCATAGATATGCACATAAATAATTTGAGAAAGCCTAGTATACAACCTTCAGCATGCATGAAGGCCAAGACTAAAAAATGAGGGAGCTGGTAACTGATGCATATGAACACAACTTTAACATCAGCTAGCAGAACTCAGTGGGAAAACATTTTAATCTTATTAAACCACTATATGATAAAAAACGTTTGTCTTGGATGCTTCTCTCCTGCTCCCTGCCCCGAGGCTGTAACAGTTCAGTTAGCCCAAGGAAGTGCTATTGTTAGGACACAGAATCCACACCATCTGTTTGGCAATGCAAAGGAAAGGTATTATGGTATGCCAGCTTCTACAATTAATAAAGCATCCATTCAAAGAGAGAGAATTAACTCACTTAAACACGTTTGTTGTGGGTAATTTGTAAATTTCTAAGGACAGAAAACAGCCTCATGTAACCAATCTTCCATATGCAACCTGCAAATACTGAGAGGTAGGGAGAACCACCAGCTTTTTTAAAACACCAATAATCAAAGTATGAAAATAGTATAACTCATGTAAGCTGGAGCTTAAATTAATTTCAATTTTATTTTCTTCCAGGACCCTTCTTTCAGCAAAGGAAAAGCAAGTATCTCCCAACCAGGAGGTAAAGATGAGGATGGACACCTGCTACAGATGAAGGCACACACAGAAAAAATAAAGCATTGGCCTTCTCTAGTGCTTGTGATGGCTGGCAGAGGGGAAAGGCAGCATCAACCACCTAGAGCTCTGAAAGTGCTTTCTCAGCCACCTGAGAAATCTTGTCCAGAGTCAGAAGTAATACCAGCAAACCTTGTATAAAAGGCAAAAATACCTTCTAGGTCTCCAGAAGCTATACAATGTTTGCTGTCCTTTTTAGCAAATTACATCTTCCCCCAATATACTACATAGAAAATACTTGGTATTAAGAAATAATATTAAAATGTGATTCATGAGTAAGCCCATTTTCTCTGTGGTTTACTGCCATTCAAGCAGAAGGATATAATTCTCAATTTAATGTTGAAAGCAAGCTTTCTATTTTTTGTAATTCTATTAAAATCCACAAAGTACTTTTAGCCCTAATGCAGCAAAATATTTCATAAGAAGGAAGCCACACTCAATACAGATGAACAAACTCTGCATTTACAGCAGCTGAGTACAGTTACCAGAGCTCATTTTCCAGGAAGTCTCAGTACTACTCCACTTGGAGTAAGCCCCAGGAGCACTGCACAGGCAGACCTGTGAAAGCAGAAATCTTTTTCCTGCTACATATGGGTCACCCACAGCACAGCACACACAAACCTCTTCCCTTGCCACTATCAGTGCTGACATGGGAGCTCTGATTACCATCATAACACATTTCCCAAGGACTTGAGAGTTAAAAACTGTGTCAGTGCCTTGCTGGGGACATCCCACATGCAGCATCTTGGAGGCCAGAGCCTCATTACTGAGTGCAGCAGGAGCTCTGCATTCAGCTCAGATGGGGGCCTGTTGCTCCTTATGGATGCTCTGCAATGCCTGCTGCAGAGCTGAGATGTTCAGCTGCCCTCAATCACCAGAACCTTGAATAAAACACGCCTTGCTATTACTCAGTTACCTTGGGAAAAAGTCATTTTGCGTGTGTCAGATCACAGGTAAAAAATAAAAGGAAAATACTTCAGAATAAACATCCGGAAAGCAAATACAGTTGCAAATTCTTATTGTTAAGAAAGGAAGAAATGGGATGAAAAAGTACAGGTTAATTTATGCCCCAAAAAAGTTGCTGTCTTTTTTCCCCCATCCTTCTGTCCCTCTCCTCAGCATGCAGCAGTGAACAGTACACCTCAGAGAGCATCCATGACAAACAGCTTGCCTTTATGGAATCTCTGTAAAGTACATCCCATTGGAGAGGAAGAAACAGCTGATTTTACTGGGGTTTGGATCAGCAGGCCATATTCCTAGCTCCTGTTTTACTCCCAAAGCAAACATGCCTATGTAGGGATGCCTAGTAGGACCCTCAACATCCACATAAACACCCTACACTGGTTTGTATTCTAATCTGATCCTGTGCTGCTCCAGTTCCGTCAACTCCTTGTTTAACAACAGCATTGATTTAGCTTTGTTTAGGGAGGTATAAAAGCAGCATGAGCACAGGAGCTAGCAAAAGTGGCTGTGGCAATAAGAAATTTAAACCCTAGATAATATTTTACCACCTCAGACTAAAACCCTCTAAAATGCCATCTCTTTCCACCAGTCTTCTACAGTCTTCTAGTTGTAAAGACAGACTTAATCTTCTATGCCAAAGCTTATCCAGTTTACTTTTTCACCACACAACAGCCTAGACAAATTTTATTAACACATCCTTAATTCAAATCCACATTCTTTAAGTTTTTCCCATTAAGGTGATCAGTTTCTTCCTTGAAAGTGCAAACAACACTTTGTTAGAGCTGGTGTCCCTCTCCTGTACTTCCAAATACTGAAAAAAAGCTTTTTGCCTTCATAAGGAGCAAGATGTGACCTCATTCACTTGCAAGCCTATATATTCAATATATACTCATATTTCAAGTGTGGTGGCGACTGTGAGGTGCAATGCAGGACAATCAGGACACTGATGCACCCACACCTAATACAGGTCATCTAAATGGGTTACATGGACATAGCTCATTACTCCCTCCTGACTAAAATTAGATGTGAAGGGATGACAAAAGGTTTAGAATGACTAATCCCCAGCCTCCTCTTTGCACACTGGAAGAACTATGTTGTTCCCTTGGATAACTCTTATTTCCCCTTCATTTCACTTTCTGAATTGCTTTTGTTAACTGAAGCAGTATCTATTCCAGTTCTAGTGTCAGAGGATCTTTAGAGCTAAACAAAGCATCCTGGTTTGCTTTCTTGTAAGAAGGAATTCACAAAATTACTAGGCTTGAAGTTTAAAATATATGTTCTGTGAACACTCAGCCTCCCATGAAAATAAAAATCCAGTACACTAAATGCAGGCAAGAGGAGTGCTAATGAATTTTACTGAAGCTTTTTGAACTAATGAAAGCAGGGAAATACCTTTGAACAATTCAAGCTAGTCCATTAAAATAAATGACCACCTATTGACCATCACCTCACAGAATAATGCCATCAATCTTCCATGACCCACAGTGCCATGTGCCCAAACCTACAGGCATGAGCTAGAAAGCAAATAACAAATAACCCACTTACCAATTTTCATATCAAATGTCCAGGCAGGTACAGCATCTCCTGATTTTACAGTAGTTGTGGGAAGAGGAAGTGTAACCTGAATGGGACCCTTTATGTTCAGTTCTTTCCCAGCCAAAAGAACATTTACACATATGGCAGCGAGAGGAGTTAATTCCATGCTTTTGAAACCTGAAGGCAAGAAACATCTCATAATTCTCCTTTCACAGTTTATTTTAAAAGAAATAAACAAAGAATTAAGCTACTAAAGGCATCCACATCCAGCTACACAGTCAGCTGCTACCAAATAAAAATTGACATTACTTTTCTTCTGAACTTTTAACAACTTATGATTAAGCCAAAACAGAGTCATTTCTATACCAATGCTATAAGAGAAACACATTTGCAACATCTGGGTTCTATGCTGACCATAGAAATAACCACGAGGCAAAACTTGTTTTGGGGTCAGGGAGGAAGGATTTTTTTCCCTCAGATAATCAGATTACAAAACCCCTAACTGCTGTGAAATACAGATCATACAAGAATTTTGGTATAATCACAATATACATAACATTGAATGAAACTGAAAGCATATTGAACCTCTCCTGTAAGGATTAATTTCCTAATTTGGCAGCCAGAATTAACTGAATAGTTAATCATGAGGCATGTCAAAGCACTCAGAGGAAATGTTGCATTTACAAAGCAGCCTGAAAGTTTCTTTCCTTTGTTTTCCTCTCACTAGTTTGCAAATGCTCCAGAATGCCCAGTGTGACAGGATGGTGAGAGAAGCTGAAACAGAATTACTAAGTAGCAGAAAAATGCTAAATCTATGCAGGCTGTTAGAAGCTGGTTGTGAGAGAACTCCTGGCATATCAGATATCAATTAGCTTCCACCTGCCCTAAGAGGAAGCCTATTCCTTTAGGGGTATATGAATAATTTAAAACACATGCCAGACAGATTGAAGGGAACACTCAAAGAGGATAAACACTGCTTATTCTCCTATGCTTCTTTCCTTCTGCCTTCCATTTAAAGAGGTGAAATACAGATAAGAAAGATTTTAAAATATCTTTGTCAAAATATCAGTATATATGCTGCCTTTAATGGAATGAAAATTAAAGAATAGAGTATGATGACTTTAAATAAGCCATGTAGTGCCCTATTCCTGCACCATGATGAATTTAAAAGCCCCATGGCTTCAGATCCCCTAAGAATAGAAAGAAAAGAACAAAAGAAAGATGGAGCTGCACACAGTACAACCTACAGAGATCACTGTACTTATGCAGATTAAAAAACTATTGGATAGAATGACAAATACTCACAAAATCCAGTGGCATAAGAGCACAGTTACGACTCATGAAACCACTTAGTGCTTCTCCAGTGAAACAGATGCAGAGAAAACATTATTACAGCTGTTCTGTACACACAGGGACCCTTTGGTCCCAAACTTGCCCAGCCTGACTGATTGTGAGCCAAGCAGGAGCTCCCATGCAATCTTTGTGCTGGGTGTAACCCCTAGAACCAATCACTCCAGTGGAAGTGCAAGAACTCCACAGCTAAAGTTAATTGCTGCTGTTTGACTGATTTATTTAGCTTCACCTACTGTACAGCCTGGCTATAATTGCATTTTTAAAGTGTTTGCTAAGCCAGTTCCACAGTCTCATGAAATCCTGATCATAAGTACATATACATACATATAAATGTAAAAACAGATTCTGAAGTTGTATTTCAGTGAAGGAAGATATGTTCTCATACTGCACAGACCAAAATAGGTAACACTGATTACTCACCTGATGTGTTTATAGCTCATTCCTGTGGAACAAAGCTTTCTGATCTAATATAATGAAGCAGGTTCAGGGCCTCTTAAATTAAGCATATGTTTTTCTGAAACGCTGTGCACTCATATGCATTGTAATATCATAATCTTTATAAGACATCCTAAGCATCATATTCACATACCTGATTTATTTAGAATAATTCCTGTTGTATACAGAAAGCTGTCCACTTTCAAAAATTGCTCTGGCACTGTCAGGTAGGCTGTAAAATTTGCAAAATGATTTGTTGGAAGCTTCATTAAAGATTTTGGAAACTGAACACTCGGTTGAGATTTGGCATCTGTAAAAGAGTAATATTTTTTCTTAGCCACAGTAAAACAGACAAACAATGTTTTTATTACCCTTCAGAATCCACTTAGCATAACAACGTGTTTCCACCCATTTTCTCCATGATTTTTGCATTTCCAGTCTAGCACTTGTCACAGCCTCTCATACAGCTACATAATTAACAGAAAATCTGGCTTTAAGTAGATAGGTATTATATAAAATGATGCTTAATTTTTTTTCCATGTGGGTGCAGATAACTATCACAGAGTGTTTAGTTACAGTCTGCATGCACAGAACTTACCAGACAGTTTTCCAGTAATTAAGACAGTATCTTCAAACAGCCATATATTAGCTTGACTTTGTGGGAATAATGAGAGCGTCACGGATGAATATACTGTGGAAAATGATAATATCTGTTATTACACTGTGCAACCAAAAAAACTCCTCCCGGGTCTCCAAATCTAAAGATCTATTGAACAGAGCAGTTAATATACCAGAGAGCATACAAAGACTAAATAAATTACTCCTGTTATCCAGAGCAGCTATTTTAGTGTTTAGGCAGAAAGACCTCTGAATATTTGCTACTGTTTTATACCTTCCATGGATAAACAAGTGACTAGAAAGTCACTAAAAAGTGACTTAAAAGTCTCTTTTTTAAAAAAAATCATGTGCATTTTTAAGATCATGCAGTAGTTAAACAGGAAAACCTATGAGGAAACACTGCTGAAACAGAGCTGTAACAGGTTATATCTGCTTAGAGGACAAAAAGCATTGGCATTCCAAGAATTACTCAGGTCAACAGGATTTTTGTCAGGACCCATTAACAGCTCTTTGCTAACTCAAAAAAAAAAAAAAAAAAAAAAATCTAAGAATTCACTGTGTGTCACAACATAACCCACTTAGATTTTAAAAGGCCTATTTTCTGCTTTAGAGTAATCAGAATTTTGACAAGTTTAACAGACCATCCACCCTTAGATCTGCATTGACAGGCACCAGCTCCCTTAACTGACTTTTCTGAGTTGTGTTCAGCTGACAGCAACTACCCAGACAGCTTAGGAGAGAAATTTAATTACTGCCAGATACAGTTTAATAATAGGACTGTAAGACGCTTACGCACTTGGCATCCTCGCAGTCTTCCAAGGCAAAGGTGTCAGCAGGTAGCCATCCTTGTATGAGACAATAGTTAAACTTAATCCTAATTTGTAGGGGACTTTTACCAACACTGCTCCATTGTTCCCAGTAAGAGTGGAATTTGTCAGGGTGTAGTTAACAAACACCTCTACCACTGCTTGTGGCAGGTACTGGTGGCTGATGATGTCATTTACTTGAACTTTCAGGGTGAAAACGGATCCTGTTGACAAAAAAGAAAAACAGGAGGTCATGATGATGCATCACAACTAAGGACCATGGTTTTGTAAAGAAGTCCTGGAGCCTAGGTCTTTGCTATTCATGTAGTGCACAGTGGATCCCTACCTCTGGCCAAAGGCAAGGGTAACCATGCAATTATATACCCCAGAGAAGGGGGAAACAAAAATCCTTAAGACAGGGCACAAAGGTGTCAAAAAGTGTTTATCAAACTCAGCAAATATAATAGCTAACCAGAAAAAAAAAAAAAAGAAAAAAAATTTGAAACCAAATTACAAAGCAATCTTCCCCTTTTTGTTTAAGCTTGAAGAATGCATCTGTGACAAGGTGAGATTGACTGTGCTCTGCAGTATCACACTGATAACACAGATGGTCTTCTTATCCAACCCTTGGCTTGGGACACACATTTCAAGATGCACCTTGAGATTATAAAAGCAGAGACCCTGATGTTTACAGACTGTGGGACAACACACTTGAATTTACATGTGTAACAATATTATAAATGCATCCAGACACTATTTCAAGCTACCATCTCCCCCCAGACTTGCACTGGGCTACTTTTCACCTTCCTACATTGCAACTTCTAAACAATATTTCTCTACTCTAATTAGAGCATCTGATAGCTTGTGCCATACCCAGTGTCTCACAGAGATCATAATTACAGTGGCTAAAAAGTACGTTGAAAATAATCAATCCACTTGAACAACAGTCTCAAGGTGCTCTGAATCACCACTTCTCTCTCAACCCTGATAGCAAATAAACTATTAGGGAGCCTTTTCACAATATGTGAAAAGGAAAATTCCACATTATTTCCAGAATACAGTTCATTTGTTGTTAGAAATTAAAATATCTACGGATCACTTTTAAAAATACTTTGAATAAAAAATTTTCCACTATTTTGGTTACAGATTTACTACTATTCAGTATCACTGCACTGCTTTCTATCCCAAAACTTTCAAATCCATTCATCATGAATATGTATTTCTATTTAGGTCAAATGTCAAGTTAAGTTATTTGAAATGTATCTACCCAAAATCATGCTTCAATTTCACCATGTTATCCCCACTGTAATTGGGATTGACATTGCACCAAGAGATTACTGCCACTGACCTTGATTTAAATAAATAGGTCTTGAGGAGCCCAGTGCAATCCATCAAAAAAATCCAGTATGTGGTGGAGATGCCCTCCAAGTTGGGCCTCTCTGAAGTATTTATTTAGATCTATTGTATGCATGGAGCACATTGTACATTCATGCAAAAAAGTGACCCGCACATAACAAAAACTGACCTCATTTATGTTTACCACATACACAGCAAAAATTTACCAGCTGTGCCAGATTGAGTCTCTGCAATGTTATTAAAAAATCTACATCTCCTTGAAAAAATTGATACATATTTTCAGAAAAATAAATTAAAACAACAAAAAAACCCAATGGCACGCAAATGTATTTGACAGAATTAATAAAAAATGCACAATAATCCTGGAACAATGCAATCTTTTTTTTTCTTTTCCTTATATAAGATATTTCAAGAATAAAATTGCTTTAAATTACTGTGCTAGAGGGGTTTTAAATCATGTGATAATGGGGAAAAAAATTATGTCATGTCAGCAAATTACAGGCTCCAAACAGTTCCTCCAGGCATTGATCCAGTTACACAGATACCAGCATCATTCCAGTGGCTGCCAAAACTTGAAAAACAGGTCATTTGCCCCTGGCCAATGACTAGTTAAAAGGCTACAGAGGATAGGAAACAGGCTGTGTACAATATTATTATCCAGTAATCATTTGGAAGTCAGGAGTCTACCATGAAATGGTATTTAAAAGTAAGAAATAGAGTGGTACAAAATGCAAGCCCATGCCAGTAAGAAGGAACACCAGAAATGCCTGTTATAAACTGGTATTTTAACAGCTGGAGTCAAGTTAGGAGAAAAAGAGCCTAGTTTTAACAGCTGAAATCAGTCACAAAAAATTTAAACCCAAAATATACTCAGAAAGACACATTCTTTCAATAATTTCTTACTTTTATTGAGTATTTCCCATTTCCTGCTGACAAAAAGCCTAACAAGAAAACACAGGAGTGAGGGCAAATGCCACAGCCCTCCTGCAGCTGTTGGTAAATTCAGAGGTTGTTCTGTGCAAAACTCTTTCTTCCTCTCATCTCCTCCAGTTACAGCCAGATTAAACCCCACTTTCTTAGAACCTTGGGGTTCAAAAAAACCCCAAAAACCCACAAAAATACTGTAAAGCTCTGCTGTTTTCACTCTCTGATGGTGAGCTGAAGAATATCATGGGCGGGTTTTAGCCATGCTGAATTTTGATTACTTCCTTCTCCCATGGGTATAGAAATTGCCACAGCATTTCCCCAAAGTGATGCTCTGCCTGAAGGGGCGTTGAGCAGATGCCAGGCTGGAAATGGGCTCTGAAATCCCAGGGTTGCTGAGATAAAGCTCTCCAGTGGCAGCTCTGGAAGAGTCCCCAGCTATGTGACTGTCACATCCAGAGAGGAGTGCTCACTTCATGGCCCTGAACATCCAGACCAACCCCTGCTCTCGGTGCCTTTGGCCTTATTTTTTGTGCTAACACAAGAATCTCCCTGACAAGAGGGAGTTGTGTCCTGCCTGCACTTGGATTTGCTAAAATCTACTCTGCCAACAAGTCACTTTAAACTCCCACACAACTGATTTTGGAGAGACTTTTTAAAATAATTATTCTTTGCACTCCTCAAGAGTAACAGTACAGGAGACATGAGGACACCTCATTATGCCTCCACCCAAATGCTTGTGAAATGATAAGTTAAAAATCCATGTGAAGAAAAGCCAGAATCCAACAGTAACAATTTCCCACATTCACCACAGTTTTGCAGAGCAGTTGTTGCAGGCCAGTTAAAAGCAGGACATGCCCAGGGCCCAGAGCTCAGACTTGGTATGCAGCTCTGGTCCTACATTTCCAACCTTGACACTCCCTGACCAGCTCCCTCCTCACATCCATTTAATGAGCAAATTTATCACTAATTTAATGGTATTCAGTTATTAACAATGTCACAGTAACATCCAAGACACCTAATTTGCAAAGGAAATACTGTCTTTCTCTTTCTTTTTATAAATACCTTAATTTACAAGCCTTTAGGGAAAATTTTAAGCCTCAACTATGATGGAAACTGCGGTAGGATACTTAAATCACAATAAAATGCACTGAAAAAAACAATTCAGATAAAAATAATGAATACTTGGTTAGCTTTTTACCAAAACCAAAGCTGAAAACTTACACAATGGATGAACCTTGTGCTTTTTTCTGCTCACTGACACGTGCCAAACACAAGTGGGTCAGCTGTATCTCAGTATTAAACAGATTTGACAGAACTCCTACAATTAGAAGAAAGAACTCAGTCCTCGCTAATTTGATTTGTGCTGCCTCAGAGGACGGGATTCCTCTCTTGGCAGGTCCACTGGAAACGCCAGCTTCTACAGCATTAAAATGCTCTGATAAACCTTCATACAAACGAAGCAGTTATTCAGACAAAGCAAAAAAAAAGGCCTTCTACCACATTTAGCTACCTCAGTCCAGGTCGGTAAAACTGATTTTACTGGATTTACACCTCATTTCTTTGAGAAGAAATATCTAATACCTGGAATTTGGCTTCATATCACTGTCCTAACTCAGAAATTGTATCACAGAATTAAGCCAAAGAACTGTTTGGAATTGCAAGCTGGGAACAAATGTAAAAGTGCAAAAAGTCTCAGTTATGGTCCATGTAATTTGCTCTTCATTCTGCAGACAAGCATGTCATCTGGTTCCCATTTATGTGAGATTTAATTAACATGGTCAAGGCCAGAGCCCTCACAGGCACAAATATGTTCCAAACTACACATATGATTAACTGAGATATGGTGGTGAAAACACACACACAGGGCAATGCCCAGGAAGAATTCCTACACATTCTGCCAGCCCTAAACCCTTTTCCCTATTAATCACCAAGTTCCTGTAGCCAAAGTGGTTCTGCACCTGGAAGGAGGCAGTTACTCTTCTTAAATACATAGAGAACTACCCAGTTAAGCAAAAATCTTATGGGATGAACAGTAAATACAATCAAATTATTCCTTAATTCCTTCCTTCAGAGGGGACTCCTCTCACCCTTGCCCAGAAGTGTTTAAACCCTGGCAGAAAAGGCACACACTGATCTGAGTTCCCTGCTAACCAGGCAGAGAAAACCCAGGCTGTGCCATTTCCTTGGTCTCAACTGACTGAACAACCCCTGTTCCCATTTTTTACATTCATAGAACACCATATTTCTTGGCTTAGCACAATTAGGGATATGAAAGGTGCACTGATCTGCAAAGGAAAAATGTGTAATAAGAATAAGGGGTTTACTGCACATCCAATATTGCAATGGTATTGCCACGGGGGGGTGGAAATCAATGAAACACACAATCTAGACAGCCAGAACACATCTGGCTTCAGTAAAAAAAGGTCATACCAAAGCCATCCTCCCAATTGCTACTTCTTAATATTTCCTTAAAACCACAGTAACAGCAGTGAGAAACTAGAAAAGCACAATGGACAAAGCAGAAGCCCCCTTCAGTTCATTGAAAATGCAGGTGCTTGAGGGGCAGCTGTGGCAGCACCTGAGGGCTGGGGGAGATCCAGTGCAGGGCAAGCCCCCTCCCCACAGGCACCATCCATCTGTGGGTACCTTTGCTCTGGAGGCAGGTACAAAGCACTGACACAGGACTGAGCTTGCTGCCTTGCACAGTGCATTAAACTGACAGAATAGGTGACCCCTAAACTCCCAGAACTGTTTTATTGGGAGAGTTATTGTCAGGCTCTGGGGTGAGCTCTCTGGCTGGTTTTCAATTAGGCTTCTCATAGCTATCAAATAACCTGCAAATCTAATTAATGACCACTACAGCCAAATGCAGGCTTCATTTGTTAGCTATCAGTGTTCTTTTATCCTGTCATACTCCATGCAGTAATTTATAGACCCTAGT